GGTCACCTGTGAGCACCTAGACATGTACAATAGAACAATAATCATATATACAATAACAACAATCAATAGAATACCGTAAAGAAAACTAACGATAAGTGACGTCCTCAAAAACGTAATATAAAACTCAATTACAAAACGCTTCCATCGAAGAACCCGAATGCAAACAATTCTAACAATGCAAACTGATAACTCGTGAAGTCGCGATAGACGCATATATATACCTATACCGAAATATATGCATATATATAGAGATATAAGAATTATGTGGTATATGCGTTGTTTATTTTTTTCTAGGGTTTCTTAGAATGTTTTCCTTTATTTACATTTTATACACCTCTCAACTACCGAGTTTTTCCTTTTTAATAAGTAATTAAACAATTCATTCAAACAACATGATTTTCATAGCTACTAAATGAAAAAAAAAAACAAAAGTTGTGGTATGATCGGAGATATATTCGAATCATATTAGATATTTATAAATATGAGTTACTTGGAGTCCAAGAAATCAATAAAATAATCCATTCAAACACCATGATTTTCATAGACACTAAATGGAAAAAACAAAAAGTTGTGATATGATCGAGGATATATTCGAATCCTCTGAAATATTTATAAATATGAGTTACTTGGAGTCTAAGAAATCAATAAAAACATGCGTTATTTATGTGAATATATAACTTATATTATTTTCTCTGCTTTCTATACTTCAATATCAAACAACAATAATAATTATATTAAAAAAATATATTTATTGATTAAAATAAAGAGGTCTGAAGAACAAAGAATAATTAAACTATAATTTGTATACATGGTAAATCATTTTTTAAAATGATATTCAATGTAAACGTCATAACACTATTCAATGTAGACGCCCCACACTACCACGCGTGCATGGCCTCTTACGCGGATATCTGCATTGTTATAAAAAAGATTTGAGAGAGAGAAGGCGACCACGAATTAATACTAAAAAGTCAAATACAAACATTAAGTATTAGAAACTCACTGTTCCAAAAACTCATCTAACTCAGGAATACGGGGATTGAGTTCGAACTTAGTAGGAGATGTGGAAGATATAGTGATCTTGCCTATGTTGATAAAACAAATACAGAGTCAAAAAAATAAAACGAAACGAACATAGAGAATATAAATTAGTATACTAAAAATACCTCCAAAATAATCAATAACGGCCCATCTAAGCACACACACAATGATATCTTGATCACAGCGTCTCCAAGATGCATAAAAGTTTTTCGCCATCTCACCGAACAATTCACAACTCAAATCAACACCACTAAATTAAAACATGCCACACATATTCAGATGGATAAAATAATTAAAACGACATTATACAGTTTAAAACATTCAGCAGACAGTACCGTTTATCTCTAAGACAGAACGTGACGGTTGAATATGAACCCCATATCTCGGAATCACATATATCATTACATAGAATGCCATATGAAGGAAAATAATGCTCCCCAGTCAGTAAACCACATGACGTCCCAGATCGACTTACATTTAAGACACGACCTATCAAATCTTCATAAACAACAAAAATTAAACAATGTTAACATCAGTAAGATAATAATAACGAAATTCAATAACTAAATCGAAAATAAACACACCAACTAAATAGTCATCATCATGGGCACGATCCAATATCCTTTGAAATTCAACGAAGTCAAAATAGGCATTTTCACATCTACGTGAAGTCTTGTCAATGATAGTTGATGGTAGGAACAATATTTTGTATCTATGAGAAGCCGGTCTACAACTATCCTCATAATCGATAACAGAAAAACGACTGATAATAATCCAACTACCAACATCTATGCGAGACGATGCAACACTGATCTCACCATCACTAATAGTGGCCTGAATCTTTACACCCTGTGAATAAAACAATCAATTAGACACCGACAAAAATTTTGAATATTTTTGTGTAATAGTACAATAAATACCTGTTCATCCGACAATATGAGCTCCATGGAAGAACGTTTCGAAATTAGCATATGCACCCACGTTTGTAAAACCTTAACAAAGATAGTACAACCATCTTTGGAAGGACTCAAACGTGAAACACACCCACCAAAACACATTGAACCAAGAGAAACTGTATAAGTACACACCGAATCCTGGTGTCCAGATATACTAATATTCTTTTCGATGAGTATATCACTCAGTTCGACGTTTTGCTGATCTTCACTATCATCGTCAATATCAGTCTCATCATCCAACATAACATCTTCATCATCATTTTCATTATCATCATGAATCGGCATCGTCACCATCTTCATCTTCGTCATCACCGCTATCATCTTCTGAGTTATCACTTGAACCATCAGATTCTTCACAACACTCATCGTCGTCAATAAAATCATCCTCAGAATCATATTCATCTGTTTGGTCCATATCATCAGTATCTTCACCCGTCTCTGAATCAGACCCCATATAATCCTCAAAACAATAATCATCATCAGTACCACGACCCGATAAAACCTCGGTATCATCAGAGTCACTATCTTCTGCATAGATAAATATATATAAAAACGGTGTAATTAGTATTCTTAAAAAAAAAAAACAGTGTTCAAAATAAAAAACAAAGAATTGAAACCATTAGATTCTTTATTCATAACCCAAGCACTCCTCGCAAAATCCCATAGAAAAGTCTTCTGAGCATGATCACTCGTATTAACACGATCAGAACCTAAATGCACAAAACAAACATTAGAACAAACATAAATACTTAATATACATCATTAACAAAAATATATTACATTAAGAGCAGAAATACCTCCTTTGATAAAAAAACTCGTGATCAAGAATAGATATATGATACGAAGAATCAATATCTACATAAAAATTGAAAACGTTCATAGATTAATATATAATAAGGGTATGCATCTGAAAGGCTAAGATATAGCATTACAAAAGGTAAAAACTGTAAGATTAATAGACAGGACTACCTTCGATAACAGGATTATATGTCCGCAAGGTCCATTCATCGATAGCAGAATCGATAAGTAGCTTGCATGGATAACCTACAAATACAAACAACTACTAATAAGTATTATAAATTGAATGAATAACCTAAAGAGGTTCAACAACCTTTTTTTTGGCGATATCCACGAAAACGTATGGAGTCACGTAACGATAATCAGTCATGTCTTTGTTATCCATATTCTAACGATGCGATTTCAACACAAACTTTAACCCGCGAGCATAAGCCTGGTTATCAAAACCTATAGTCGTATAAATTTTTACTAAAAAAGTTGAGAGCATACATACTATTATTAAATTTGATAATAGTTATATATATATACCAGAATCAGTAGACGGAACTTCCCAAGTGATGATGACTTTAGATGGATGATCAAAGCTGTACTTAGACGAACACATTGTTAGCTTTGCATGCAAATAGACAAACATGCTGAATCTTTTCTAAAGAGATCCAAAAAGTCAATCCTATTATAAAAACCCTAGCAAAATAATCACGGAACCCTAATAGAAAAACTAATGCATAAATTATGAGAAGTTTGGTTGAAAACGCTCATATTTATACGTCTAAACAACCTAGGGTTTATTTTCTTGTGAAAAATACTAAAATGTAATTATTGATCTATATGCGATATTATCTTCCCATGAATTTCGTAGTTATTAATAATAAAAATGTAAAGATTCCATTCTAGATAATAACAAAGAAATTATGGAATATTCCCTTTTATAAAATATTTAATAAATACAAAATATTTCCAAAAATTGAGTTATAACTAAATTCTAACAATTAAAATCAACAAAAAAAAACTAATCACAGGATTCGAACCCGTGAGCCTTCGATAAATGGACAAAGCACTTAACCAACACAGCTACCATCTCATTTAGCACAAACGACGTATTGGAAGGTATGTATAATTTTTTTGGGTTTGAAATTTGGGCCAAGTTATTCGAGAGAAGAGATTATAGCCCAGACCCTTTTTATGTGAATTAAAGAAGTTTTCCATTTTTAAAGCAACTAATATCGATTTTAATGATTTAAAATTAACTAATTCAACCAATCAAATTATCAGAATTTCATTAATCAAAACGACATAAAAAATTGTGCGTTAAACCACAGACGAATTCACTTTGCAAATACTAATATAGATAGTTCCAAACCATGCAAAGACTCATTAGGCACCTAATGCAAACCCTAAGTCCTAAAACAATACCTAAAGACCTAAAATGCATGAAATAAGACATGATTTGGACCTAAAAATGCAAGCTATATGATGCAAATTATCAACATGTATGGGTCCGATATTACAGGCTTTTATTTTTCAAAATCCAATGTGTAATATGACATATATCTATTCTAAACATATAAATTAATTAATACAAATAAGATAAAAGTATGTAAATGATACAATAGTAATTAATCTAGTAAGTTAAACTTACTTTCAAAAATCTTTAAAAACTTTTTGAAATTGACACCTCAACATAACAATTATGTAAATAATACAAAAAACAAATGTTTTTTTCAAGTGTACATAATAATATAAGTTAATAACATTGTCACCATACATAGCGCAGATAATAATAATAAAATGGACAATTATCACGAATATCCATGATGCCAGCGGTGGCTAGTTTTTATGGATCCCTCCTATTTTGCCATTTTCAAGCTCAGAGTCATATGTCCAACGATCGGCTGTTTCTAATACCTCTTGATACGAATTTTGTCCTATACAAGGTAAATATCAAGCCACAGATATAGTTTCATGGGGTAGAATTCACCACAAGAAATTGTTTTAAGTATGAAAATTCACATGGAATCTCATAAAACACTAATTATTGTCATACCTATATAAGGTGGAATATTTGACAACCAATCAATAGTAGGCAATGATCCCTCTATAGAACTAGGTAAAGTTGCCTCACTCAGGTTTGGATCATGTAGTGGTGGACTCTAGTCACTAGACTACTTTTTTCATCCTTGTCTCTTGTGGTCGTTCAAAGATTTAAACAACTACTTTCACAAAAGAAGTTTTTTCATACAAACCATAAAATGTACTACCAACACAAACAAATTTTACAAGAACTGATGACAACACAGCAAAAAAAAATATTTCCATTATGGTCAAAGGCTACACTGATGCAGATAGGTAAGATGTAACAAGTGAAAAGGTAACAGGCTTCTGCTTCTTGTATTCATTGTACCGCAAAAAGAAGTAGCCCAAGTAATCAAACTCAATCGGAGACATCCTTGCCTGTTCCACCAAATTTGTACAAGTTACATTAGCTGAATACAAGTTGGTTCAGTTACCAACGTCAATCAATACACAATATGGGTTATATGTTGAATATAAGTTAGTTCCGTTATCAACGTTCTGTTATCAATGTAAACGATATACTATATAGTTTATAAGCGCACCTGGATGATTGCCCATACTGCCCAGTACAAATGAGATGCTAACTTATATGCATCTGTCTCTATGAAGACTGATTCCACTTCCGCGATACCGACCTGTTCCGACAAGCAACATACATATTCTTTAGTTTTGCAATAGGCAACACCTAATTTGGTCCCGATAGAACAGCCAAAAGGTACAAACTTCACATCCATTTAAGAACACGACTCTTACAAGCTAAATTATGGGAACAAACAAGCAAATGTATGGAAACAATCGCGCCCGATTCAGGACCCAACTTACACCCATTTAGACTATTATATCCTTCCAAACTGCGTTTACATGTCTTAGAAAATAAATTCACATTTATAAAGGAAAATATAATACTTTCCTATGTTCATAAAATATTCTTTTAAACTGTTAACATATAAACCAAACGGTTTGCATTTGGTTTTTTCATTTACGATCTACAAAAAAAAAGAGTTGACTATAACATTATAGTTTCATCTGAAGGAAAATGACACTACGTTGAGATGTAAATGTTAAATCAATTACAGAAACCAATCAAGGCCATAGTAATCAATAATCATACTCCTTAACTTCTCGAATGTATTAGTGTCATAGCGAACTGGGAACCCAACTTTCTGGAAACTCTTACTAATCACCAGATTGTTACCCGTATTTTCACTAATATGATATATTTGGTTGAGAAACTCAACCACGGATTACTGTACAAATCTCTACGTTTCCAATCGGTTGGTATGTTCTTACCTCGTCCGGGTTGTCTGGCTGTAAGTAATGCTTGATGAAATGATATTGTTGTTCTTTACTTGGGTAGCTACAAAGAACCCACAACAAGAATTTTTTTTTCCAATCATTTAGAGAGAACTACAGAAACTATAGAAGAATTCAAAAGGAAGTTGAACATACAAGCTGTAATCACAGTCGTATCCTGCATATTCATTGAAGTGATTTCCGATGTCAAAGCCTCTATAGTTATATGATCCATACTCGAAATCAATCAGGTAGAGTTTCTCTAAACATGGAGGCACATAATCATGTTAGAAACTACAAAGCATCAATATTAAGAATACATAAGAAGATAGCAAACCTAAACCAAAACAATGTTTTCAAAAGATCATTCTTACGCAAAACTTGAAGGCGGTTTTGGGATCTTGTATACCACAATGACCATTAAGATTAATCTCTAAACCAAAATGGAGTTTCACCGCTTTCACGCATAACAAAGATACCCTATTTTTGCGGCGCTATGCCTGTCTTTCTATTTATTCTCAGCAAATGCTTTTAGCTGAGAAAGAATACAGAAAATAAGGAATTTTGTTACCTTCTTCCTCATTCAGCATTAAGTTTCCCGAAAGCAAATCATTATGAGCAAACACCACAGGTGCATTAAGTACGCCTGTGAATTCCTGTACAATTATCAAAACCAGCAAACATTATCAAACCAGCACAGAATAAAAGGTCCGCATGCACCACCAATCACAAACAAAAATGGTTTAGATTATAGAAAGAAGCATTAGCAGATTTTTGAAAAAGTTTATTCACTAGAGAAGAATAAAAGGACCACGTCTCCTACAACAGTAATGTGGCTACAGTTAAGCACATAAAAATTGTTTGTGAGCAACAAAGATGACTACAAATTCCAACATGAAAGATGTACTCAACATTGTATTATCTGGTTTATGTGGTAAACCAAATTCGCAAGTAGTATTTTAAAACAACAGAAATGAAGTACCATAAGACATACCCGTAGCTCAATAATTTCTTTATGCAGTTCTTCAAACGAAATTGTCTCAAAGAGTTTCTGCCTATCAGGTTCCTCAAATCTTAGAGTAGAGGCTGCAAGTAAAGGTACAGAGCATACGTGAAAAAATACGTAAGAGCTGGTTTGTACCAATATTGGTGGTTTATATAAGATATAGCCAACACCCAAACACTTAATCAACATCATAGAAAACAAAATGTAGAACAACGGTTAAAAAAAGGAAAACAAAAAAAAGGTACCTTTTTCAAAGAACTTCACGATATCAACCCACAGTTGAGGTTCTTTGGAACCTGGTATCTCCACTTTATGAAACTTTCCAAGCTCTTTGGCAATTTCTGCAGCAATCTTTGGCTGTCTCATGTCTGCCCACAAGAAAGAAGAAATACGATTCATTTGAAGTCCATGAAACTGAATAATACGGAGTAGCACTTATGCAAACATATAAAACATGAGACTGAGACGTACACCAAATTAAGGATTGCAGGTTATCACTTTTTTTATTTTTTTTACAACTGTCAAACTTTCACTTGATTTTGTTAACGATGGAGACTTTGCAGGTCATCCACTTAACAACAAGAATATATCTTATTTTCAAGAAACTTACAACAGACATTTTATTCCGCTACAAGAATTTTAAATGCCTACCCGATGGGTCTAAGGTTCGAGCATTGATGAATGATTGCACCATGCCATTTCCAAACCCACCAAGCAACTTGGCACCAAATCCGGCAGCCGAGAGATACTTGATGGCCTATTGAAGACGTGAGAAGCAAATAACGAAAACAGACACAGGATAAAACTTCAAGTGACGCAAGAGAATAATTGGAAACATTAGCAGAGAAAACAATTGACCAAAAACTCTGTTATGTTCTGCTATAAGGCTCATGCTTCGAGTTGATATCACTAGAAGATAGATGACTGAAATAAAAGAAAATTCTTGGTAACGCAAACTAATGCATTAAGAACACGGATCAGACATGAACAAAAGAGTCGGTGCACACAAGGGTAAGGGACTTGACATGTACATTGAGTTTATCACTAAATTACCTGCAGCTCTCTCTCCCGGTTGATAACATACTCCGTGTTAGGTCCATAGAGTCGCACTGTTACAGAGAGTTCTCTATCAGTGTCTTCCTTCACAAAAACCTTCAGCACTGACATCGTGAAAAGATAACATCTAATTTAGAAAATAAAACGATTGAGACCCAATCATTGAACCAAGGTAGAAGATTATCACTGACAAATGAAGAGGAAGATGAATGTGTTATGCAAACTCACATAGATTTGTGATGCCTCCAGATACTCTCTCGACAGAAAAAAGTGCATCATCAATCTCTCTCCAATTCTTGAACAGATCTTTACACAACTCTCTGTTAAACATGACAAGATTCAAGAATTGATCAATTCGAACAAAAATACAAGGCTTATGCCATTCGTCTTCATTTTTGACTAATCCGCCAAGAAAACGAAATTATAAGAAGAATATGAGTCACAACAAGAGGTCTTATCAATTTTTCTTTTTAAATGTTATTTTAGTCTTTATCATTTTCAAGATAAGATTCGAAGCTTTCACTATGTCATCAAAAGTACTTTACAACAACTTCCTCCATAACATACAATCAAAGTAGAAAGAGAACCCCAATAACGCAATTTCTAGCTCGAGCTAAAAAAACACGAATTCTCCTCCGATATCGAATAGTAAAGAAAAAATCCAAAATATATGGAACGAGCTACAAACTTCAACAGTCGAAATCAATTGATGGTGAAGATTAGAGAGAGAAAAATACGAACATGATACGAGGAATCATGACTGGGAGAGGCAAAGATGTGTTGACGATAATCGAAGAATATGGAATCTGGGAGGAAGCGTTGTTATTGCCGCTCGCATCATCTTCGGCTTCCAAAATTGCCCAGATATTCTTCGCAGCTCCCATTTTTGTCAACGTTGAAATTGATCTTCTCCTCTCTATATAATAAAGATTTTCTTATTCAGAGCTCAATTTCTAATTCTGTTTTCCTCTAAGTTTTACGCGTCTGTTGGCTTAAGAAGCCATATGTTTGGCACGGTTATAATTTCATATCAGTCCAATGGCGTACAAGATTGGAATTGGGGATAATTTGACTTTTATTATGAAATTTGGTAAGTTACACTTACTGACATTTTGACTTACCATTCATACAAAAGCTCATTTTGTTGTTTCTATGTAAATTTGGCTTTTTCATACCAGAATTATATTAGTGTGCTAAATCATACATTAAATTAATAAATTTTAAATTATGTACCTAATATGAGGAATAATCTCACATACTCCTTCAATATTATAAAAATTTACATATATCCTCGCTATAAAAATTATTTTATTCAATTTATTTAAATTAAAAATAAGCGGTTAAATACTTGGAGGTCTTTGGTAAAATTTGTTATTTACAAATCCAACCACCAAGATCCACACCCAATCGGTCATATCTGGTTGAATCCAAGTAAATCGGATCCTCGGTCAAAATCGGTTAAACCCTTGATAGTAAATATACTTGAAAAAATTAGAAAAAAAATTGAGTAATTTGGAATTCGAAATCATCGTCGTGTAGTTCGTATAGTATTCTCTGGGACAACTACGAGTGATTTGCTGATGTCTGTTTTGAACCAACTCTAAATCAAGTTCGTTCTTCTTCGTCCTCTGATTTATACTCTATCTGGGTTCAACGACTTATCCTTTAGATAACTTTGTATGATTGAACTCGATTTTGTGTAGAATCGAAATCAATTTATATATTCTCTATTCAGTTGGTAATTAGAAAATAGGAGTCATGGATGATATCGAAGGAGAGGTTAGTTATGCTAGACCAGATGCTTGGACATGTCCAAGCTTTGTTACTCCCTTGGAGGTATGTCACATTATAAAGAATTTGTAGGTCTATGTGTAGTTGTAATACTATGAGATTAAATGTAATTTGTTGGGTTATGTGTAGTTGCTAGCTTTTGAGGCCATCTCATGTCTGAAGTACAAATATAGAGAAGATGTTGAAGGAGCAGAGAGGGATTTGAAACAAGAGTTTTGTGTCTCTTAGAGGTTCAATTCCTCATGTTGTTGTAGTACAAGAGGTATCAATCCAAAGTGTGTGATTCAAACATCAATTTATCTGAAATGTAACTTAATCTAAGCCTAATGATGTGAGTTAGTTTTTGGTGACAAAATAAAACTAAAACAAGACTATTAAAGCAATACTAAGCAAATGATCAAGCAAACTAAACAAGCAAATAGCAAAATGATGATGATGATATAAAGATGACAAAAGGCTTAGAGTTCTAGACATGGTAGAGGGTTAGGGTGCATTGGTGCTAAACTAATATACTAATGACATAATGATGAATGATCCGATCAAGTTAGGATTCAAAACAAGTTCAATTATTTCTCAAGAAAATGAACACAAATAAAATCATTACTCATACCCAATCATCATTAAAGACATAATGATAAGAATGCATTACAAATCAATCCTAACATGTCATTTATGCATTAAACAAACATTCTCATGACATTCATGCATAAACCTCTATAATAGCTGGTTCAGGCATATAATCAAACAACTTTTGGGTGAGAAATACCTGAAATCTTGGTTAGAATGATTATCAAAAACCCAACATTAAGTTCAGTTATTTAGAGAATGGAAAACATAAATCTAGTCCTAAGCACCTTAATCTAACACTTTTGCACCCTACCCTACATATCTAGAACTCTAATAAAAAGAACTACTCATTAATCATAATCAACACACTTAATCCTTTGTAAAATTTGTTGTTAATCATTATTAGAAGTTTGGAATGATGACAGAGGATGATAAGAAATGTCTTAAATCTGATTAAAAACTTAAGATGTCTCTTAGCAAATGATCTTGTGTTTCACAAAAGAGGATGAAAGACAAAAGTAGGAAACAAGGTATCTAGGGTTTTTAGCCCAATACTATTTATAAAAGGGATTTCGAATCGTGTCAGACCCGGTTTGGTTAGATAAAACATGTCTTGCCCCAGCCACCTTTCACTCGGAGCACAACCCGGAGCAAAGCATTCTCGAATTGTTTGCACATTGCTCTGGCTCCTTATCACCTGGAGCAGACATCTAGGGGTAATGGCCGACTGATTTGGTTCAAGCAAATTCACTCCTGCTCTGGCTTATTTACTCGCAGCACAACCGGGAGCACAGCCTCCAAAATCTTTTGCACACTGCTATCACTCATTTCCAAGTCGGAGCACTACTCGGAGCAAAACTTTACGCTTACAGATTTCAAGATCATTAGCATCTTCCTTCTATTCCTGATAACTGAAGTCGCAGCAACACTTGCAGCATGACTCCTAGAATCATTCGCGTTTTGGTCAGACTTGTTCGTAGTTGAGATGCCATAACTCCCGGGATACTGATCCAAAAGACTTGATTCAAACTTCAGAAGAAATTCAGCTCAATTGACTAGAAATTTGATGAAGAGTCCTAGTGCATCGGGAGAAAGCAAGGCTTTCTGTACAGCGGTTCTTTAAAACGCATCAGGAGATTACAGATTCTTTCTGTGAGACATGTTTATTTCCCGTATTTGATATCTCTCAGCTCACTACTCCAAATAAGTTGATTCCAAGCATTCGTGAAAGATGACTCAATGCTCTCAAATATTGATGAGCCCACTGAAATACTGAATCGGAAGGTAAGGGTTTCGTCCTAGGTGATCTTTGAGATGCACCAGATCGGTCCGAAATGACTGTGAGACAGGTATGTTTTCTGTGGGCCATATTTTTCAGCTCACGGCTCTAAATCCGCTGATTCCAAGTTTTCTGGAACAATGACTCGATCCTCATAATTTTTGATGAAGACATTGGAAGCTGAATCGGCGTGTAAAACTTCTGGTACAGGTAATCTTTGAAGTGTATTGGCACATATGATGGTTTCCCGAGAGACATGTACCGTGGTTCAGGGTTTTGGCCGATAAACTCACTCTCTGGTACATGTTTTTGGCTGATAAAAAGCTTCATGTGGTAAGCTTTTTGGCCGATAAGCTTTTTGGCCGATAAACTTTTTTTTTGGCCCGGTTCACATTTCCTTCATCATTTTTCACCATTTTCTTCACAGGTTTCACCTTCTCAGCTCCAAAACAGCTCCAAGGTACCTAGATAACACTCCAAAATCCAAGACTCACTTGGACCTAATGCAAAATCCTAAAAGCTAAAACCAAAGCTAAACTCTAAGAAAACTACTCTATGCATGCATGAGACTCTATCTTTGGACTAAAGTTGCATACTAAATGAGTAAAGATATGAATATATCAGGATTGTCCTCGGATGTGCTGGAAGAAGTTCCAACCATTCACCCTAAAAGGTTTCCTTTGTCGGAAATCTATGAAACATTTGGTAACACTAGGGTCATCGAGAGTATATTGCAACCATCTGAGGATGGAGATATTATGCTTGCTGAAGTCATGGAGAGAATGAAGAGCAAGATGTTGGTGATATAGTTCCTGACAATTGGACGAGGCGTCTAGTTGAGGAAAAGAAGCTGATATTCTGGAAATATATATGATAGATCAATGTTGATGCCCGAGATGATAAGGAGAGGGTAAACTATCCTGCTCTTAGCTCTTTTCACTTTTCATTTCTCAACTAGCCTCTTCTCTCATAAAACTTGATGCTTGAGCCTTTTTGGCTTCTTTTCTTTTCTTTTCACACTTTGAATATTTTTCTTTTTAACACTTAGAGCTTTCTTTTTTCAGACACCAACCATTTTACACTTTGCCATCCCCTAGCTCTCAACCCAATTTTTCTCTTTTCCACTCATTGATTCCCCAAGGTCCCTTTCTAACCTACTCTAGTCTCATGATGCAGAGCTAGATATTGATATACTCATATTTTGTCATATATTTAGGATTGCATTTTTGTCCAAATATTGAGTCTCATGCATACATTTAGGTAGTTTTACATATATTTGTCTTTGCTTTTGTCTTTAGTTAGGAATTGCATTAGGTCCTAGAGTGTCCTGCATTTTTGGAGTGTTCTCAGGTCATTTGGAGACTTTTGGGAGCAACTTGGAGCTGGGATCATGGAGGAACCCTCACCTGTGTACAGCAACTCGGACAGATGGTTTGGTGCAGACAAAACCCTCACTTTGATCGCGTGGGACGAAGGACTTGCAATGCGATTCAATCTCCGGGGTCTTCATCAAGAATCAAGAGGGATGAGTCTAGCTTCCGGAACACTTGGAATCAGACGATTTGGAGCCGTGAACTGGGAGATATTGCCATCAGAAGGAACACATGTCTCGCGGCCCGATCAGGTCTTAAGCGATGCGCCTCAAAGAACCAGTGGAACGGAACCCTTTGTGACGTCATCTGAACCCGAACCCTTCATCAAAGTTGGAGATGATAGAGTCACGGTCCCAGACCGGTCGAATCATTGGATTTGGAGTCGTGAGATGAGAGTTAAGGAAGGCGAGAGACATACATATCAGCCAGACGTCTAAGAGTGGATAAGGTGCTAAATGTCATGATTTGACACAGTGATAATGCCACGGCCTGAGCTTAGCCGTGGTATAATATGAAAACTCTCGGGATTTGACATGGTCTTGAAGCACGGCCTTGGACCTGACCACGACAAGCAATGAAGATCTTTGACACGCCCATAATGTCATGGTCGGGATTTGACATGGTCTTGAAGCACGGCCTGATGTTTGGCTGTGGCAATCACCGAATCATCAACACCTTGCCACACCCAACATGACACGGTCCAGATCAAGAACGTGGCAATCCAAGAAGTTCATCACCCAAACCCAGAAAAGAAGAGACACGGCCACTAGACATGGTGTAAATCAAGCCATGGCAACCTTGATCATGAAGAATCTGTCCAAGAACTTTGACACTATCAGTTTGCCACGGTCTGTCCAAACATCATCTGACCGTGGCAAACCATACCACTATCCAACTGAGCCGGGTCAATACCCAGTTTTTCCTGGGCTGACCCGGTCCATTAGCACTTAGTATATATAGCTTTTTGGAGAAAACCCT